ATATTTTGTATTGATTGGAACTGTTAGATATTATTTGATATTATTAAGATATTGTTAACCATAATATCAAACAATAATTTCTGTTTATTTTGTTACTTTCAATTACTCTTTTAGTTGTATCTCTCTATTATAAATAGACTACTTTATGTGTGATTTATACACAAGGGAAATTCATCTCAAACTCTATTTCTTCTATATTCAACATGGTATCTAGAACTTAAGGTTATTTTGAAATTTTTTCGCCTTTGACCATTGTTGGAACCGCCACCACTATCGTTATCGCTGCCGGTTAAATTAATCTTTCACATCAGAAAAGAATTATTTTTGTTAGTGTGAAAGTGCATGTCTAGGAAGGTTCTGACAAAGAAAGACTTGGTATTTAAGCGTGTCCATTAGTGACTCACCTCTCTTTCCTGGGAACTTACCTGGTGTACTGGTTCACGCCGCGATCATTGTCACCTCCACTGCCTCTGTCCTTTATGACTTCTTCCGCTCCTTCTAGTACTTCCAATTCTGTTAGTACTGCGTCTAATCATTCAATCTACACTAACTATGTTAATGTGCACTTATCCATTAACAAGTTAACTAGCCCTAATTATGCCACATGGTCATCAGACGTCAGATTATGGCTTAAGAGTCAGAAGTATCTTGATCCCTGAAAGCAGCTACTCTCACTCCTGGTGAGGAAGACCGTTGGGACACCATTGATGCTCAATTATGTGTGGTTCTCAAGGGTACTCTTGATCCTTCGTTAAAACAAATTTTTCGTTCCTACAAAACATGTGCCAAAATCTAGGAACATGCCAAGTTATTATACACCAATGATACTCAATGTCTCTATGATGTATGTTCTAAATTTGTAGATGTTATTATCTCTAAACATCAAGATTCTATTACTGATTATATGGGCAAAATTCATGTTTTTCATAAGTTCAATGAGTTATTGTCTCCTTCCCTCGACCCTGCCACTGAGATAGCACAACGATTAAAGTTCTTCATGCTAGGGGCATTACACGGACTTGCTGATCAATATTCACATATTCGTGATCAAATTTTGGGTTCTCCGATTGTCCCCACCTTGACATCGACCTGCTCCACTCTTTTGCGTGTACCAGCAAAACCCAACCCTAACACACCTATTTCTGTTAATGATTCTTCTGCATTGATATCTCACCGTGATGATCGAACTCGCCCTCGCAAGCTAGGTCACAAGATTGACCAGTGTTATGCATTACATGATCATCCTCCTCGATCTGCTGCAGTTGTTCAGACTGATCTTTCCCCACCTTTATCTGCTAAGGATCTTCCTTCTTCTATTTCATCAGACACACCTGCTATATTCAACAAATTTCTCAAATGGTATAAGGATCAACAGTCTTCTAGTTCCACTGTGTCTGTCGCACACACAAGTACATCTTTTGCTGGTCTAATCCAATCTTCTTCTAGTCCTTGGATTTTTTATTTAGGAGCCCCTGATCATATTACTAGTAACAAATATTTGTTCTCCTCTTTATCCTCTCCTAATCTTTTACCTTGTGTTACACTGGCTGATGGCTCTAAAGTATCATCTCATGGTGTTAACTCTGTTAAACTTTTTCCTTCTTTAACCATTGATAATGTTTTTTGTCTCTAGGTCTCCTTTTAACCTGTTATCCATCAGTCGTCTAACTCGTTCTCTTGATTGTGTTGTTTCTTTTACCAACAATTCTGTGTGTTTACAGGACCGGAGTTCGAAACAGGTGATTGGCATAGGATGTGAGTCTCATGGTCTTTATCATCTTCGTCCCTTTACACATGTTGGTGCAGTTATAGAGTCTCCATCTCTTCTCCATGCTCAATTAGGTCATCCAAGTCTTGCTAAGTTACAGCACCTTGTCTCTGCTTTATCTAAGTTGTCTACTTTGGCATGTGAGTTGTGTCAATTAGGCAAGCATAGTCGTACTTCCTTCCTCGTAGTGTCACACGTGGTAATTCGTCCCCTTTTGTCGTGGTTCACTCTGATATTTAGGGACCTAGCCACATTAAGTCTATTTTAGGTTTTCAATACTTTGTTACTTTCATTGATGATTATTCCAGATGTACTTGGTTATTATTTATGAAAAATCGTTTTGAAGTATTTCATATCTTTCAATTTTTTTTAATGAAATTCAAACTCAGTTTGGTATTTCTATTAGAGTTTTGCGCAGTGATAATGGTCGTGAATATCTTTCTCGTTCTTTTAAACAATTCTTAGTTTCTCATGGTATTTTGCATCAAACTTCTTGTGCTTATACACCTCAACAAAATGGTGTAGCTGAATGTAAAAATAGACATCTTATTAAAACAGCTCGCACTCTTTTAATTCATGGAGAGGTTCCTCAACATTTTTGGGGTGATGATCTTCTTACTGCATGTTATCTCGTTAATTGCATGTCATCTTCGGTTTTAGATAATAAAATACCTCATTTCATTTTATTCCTTCATGAATCACTTTATCCCTTACCTCTAAGAGTTTTCGGGTCTACATGTTTGTTCATAATTTCAGTTCTGGTCTTGACAAACTTTCTCTTAGATCACATAAATGTGTTTTCTTAAGATTTACAAGATCACAAAAAAGATACAAATGTTTTTCTCTTTCTCTTAACCATTATTTTGTGTCTGCAGATGTCACCTTTGATGAGTTCTCTTTTTATTTTAAAAGCAATCTTCACCTCTGTCTCCATCCAATCTTGTCAACACTTCTAGTACATTTAATATTCCTGTTGTTTGTGACCCTCTAATTGTGTCTTCTTCACCATTAGTTTCTGCTCCGCAGTCAGCTTCTTCTTCACCGCCTCTTTAGGTTTATAATTTCCGAAACCAATCACAACCACCACCATGTAACTCCACTCAAGTGCCAACTACTCTGTCTCCTCCGGATGTGACACTTGAGTCTGACATTCCCATTGTCCTCTGAAAAGGTATCTGTTATACACGTAATCCCTCTTTCCATTATATTGGTTTGAGTTATCATCGACTGGCATTACCTTTTTATATATGTATTTTCTCTCTTTCTTTTATGACTATTCCAAAAACTATCTGTGAAGCTTTAGCTCATCCTAGTTGGCGTCAGGTCATGTTAGATGAACTAAGTGTTCTTCATAATAGTGGAACTTGGGAATTGGTCTCGTTACTGTCTGAGAAATCTGTTGTTGGTTGCAGGTGGGTGTTTGCTATCAAAGTTGGACCTGATGGTACTATTGATCGCCTCAAAACTCGTCTTGTGACCAAAGGTTATACTCAAATTTTTTGGTTGCATTATGGAGATACATTTTCTCTCATAGCAAAGATGATTTATGTTCGTTTATTTATCGCCATGACTGTTCTTCAACAATGGCTTATTTATCAACTAGATGTTAAAAATGTTTTCTTCAATAGTGATTGGCAAAAAGAAATCTATATCAAGCAACCTCCTGGGTTTGTTGCTCAGGGGGAGTCTTCTAGGATGGTATGTCGTTTTCGCAAATCCTTATATGGCATAAAACAGTCTCCTAGGGTCTGGTTTGGAAAGTTTAGCAAGGTTGTTCAACAATTTGGTATGACTCGATGTAAAGCATATCACTCTGTCTTTTATTAACACTCGAGTGTTGGATGTGTTTACTTGATAGTATATGTTGATGACATCGTTCTTACAGGTAGTGACAACCATGGCATCTCTCAGTTGAAACAACATCTCTGTCATCATTTTTAGACCAAAGATCTTGGCAAACTTAGATATTTCTTGGGTATTGAGATAGCACAGTCCAATGATGGTATTGTTATATCTCATAGGAAATATGTCATGAATATTTTGGAGGAAACTGGGTTGATGAGTTCAAAGTCTGTTGATACACCCATGGATCTCAATACTAAACTTCTACCAAATCAGGGGGAGTTTATACCTGATCCTAAGTAATATAGAAGATTGGTTGGAAAATTGAATTATCTTACAGTTACTCGTCTTAACATTTTCTTTGCAGTTAGTGTGGTAAACCAATTTCTTAATTCCTCATGTGAAGATCATTGGAATGCAGTCATTCGTATCTTAAAGTATATTAAAGGATCTCCTAGAAAATGATTGTTATATGTTTCTAATAATCATACAAGAGTTGTTTGATACTCAGAATTTGATTGGGCAGGATCTCCTTCGGATAAAAGATCTACATCTGGATATTATGTCTCCATTGGTGGTAATTTGGTCTCATAGAAAAGTAAGAAACAGAGTATTGTGACAAGATCTAGTGCAGAAGCAGAATATAGAGCTATGGCCTCAGCTGTCTGTGAACTTGTTTGGCTCAAGCAATTGCTTAGAGAGTTCCAATTTGGAGATGTCACTCAAATGTCACTTGTGTGTGACAATCAGACTGTTCTTCATATTAATTCTAATCTTGTTTTCATGAGAGGACCAAACACATTGAGATTGATTGTCATCTCATTCAAAAAAAGATTATGTCTCGAGACATCAAAACTGAGTTTGTTAACTCAAGTGATCAGTTAGCAGATACTTTTACTAAATATTTACGGGGACCTAGAATTGATTATATTTGTAACAAGCTTGACACATACGATTTGTATGCTCCAGCTTGAGGGGGAGTGTTAGATATTGTTTAGATATTATTTGATATTGTTAAGATATTGTTAGATATTGTTAACCACAATATCAAACAATATCTTCTGTTTATTCTGTTACTCTTTTAGTTGTATCTCTCTTATAAATAGACTACCCTATGTCTGATTTATATACAAGGGAGATTAATCTCAAACTCTATTTCTTCTATATTCAACCGAACCAAATCAAGACGGATCAGATATATGAATTGAACTAAATCAACCTCTATTAAAATGGGTAGAAAGGACTAAGTGTCAATGAATATTGTGGAAATATCCACCGTTGATTTGAATTAAAAGTACCTCGTAAGGTCGATACACCCACACTTTTCACTTGCCACTATATCCGAAGATCTAAAACAATCTCATAAGCCGACTGGTTAATGAATCAACAGCTATTCATGATTGGTGCAGACGTCTGTACCATCTTTCAAGAAAGCCAACTCGGTAACCAATGCAATATGATCACTGCCCCATTTCTGCATAATTGATAGGCAGAGAAAAACTTAAAAAATCACAAGCTACATGTTTCAAGTAACAATTTGAAAAATCAAGGGAAGTGACAAGGCAAAATTATACATGAAAGGAATCTAGTTCAGTTGTGAACACATGGTTATCATCGAAACCTAAATTAAAACACCATTTTGGACCTCGGAAGTTCAAATCATATCAATCACCGCTGGAACCAAGAAATTTCAAATAAATTCCTAGGATGTCATATAAGTTTCTAATCGTAATCATATCAATCACCGCTGGAACCAAGAAATTTCAAATAAATTCCTAGGGTGTCATGTAAGTTTCTAAACTTAATTACTTACTGATATTTGGGAATTTTGACCTTAAATGTGTTAATTTGATGACTTAAGTCACACTACTTCTAAATTTTGGAGCGAAGTATTGCCAGATTGCACTTTTAGGGATTGTTTTACTTTAAGGACTAATATGATAGTACCCCAAGACTTTTAGGAACCCAAATGGTGTTTTACCCCAAAAAAATAATCTAGTCAAGCAAGGATGTGTGCAGATACCCACCCCCTGCACATTAAACTTCCATTACTGAAACAATCCACCTCTGATGTAACAAACTTACAACAATAACCTCTTATCTGAGATGTGGGTAACACATAATAATAATGAGTGAAAGAAGAGACCCAATAAACCCCATCCATCTGCAATATTTCACACAAAAACTACTAAGTTTTCTTACCTTTGTTGGGAATCCCGGAGTCCATTCCATGGCATCTTTAGACATCGGAGCAAGAACTCTCGTTGTTTGAAGACCTTCAGATCGCCTAAGTAACAGATCAAGGGAAAAATGCATTCCTATTAACTCCTTTCAATTAGTTTAACAAAAGAAGTGTATAGCAAAAAATTGAATGCATACTATAGCTCAAATTCATCAATCAACTTTAGTAATGACTACACGGCAATAATTGTTATTTTATAATTCAAAATAAAATAAGCACAGCAGAGAAAAACAGTGGCTGATAACACCTACCAAATGTAGTCAACAGTTCCCGAGAAGCGCCTATTATAACTGGTTACAAGGGGCTCTCCATGGTGATCTCTGGTCCCTGAACAATCCTGCATTTATACAAAGAGTGCTTAGTGCTAAGTACAACAAGATAATAATAAGAAAGAGCACAAGTTTTAACTGTAGCTCTTAAATATGAGGTGTAAAATGTGCTAGTTTGTCAAAAAAAAGTAAAGTTCAAAGAAAATGTGCAGGCGATTGTTTAGATACCATAGCTTCAGTGTATGTGCTCCTAAGCAGTAAAGGGTGCTCCAAGAAGGTGCAATCTGCATTTCCTGTAGCAGTTTCTATCTCCATAGGGGTCCACAATGCTGGATTATAAGTAGCTTCCTCTGTACAAATAGATTTAGAAATCTGATTTGGAGATAAATCATCCTCCCCTTCATTGCTCTCTACAGGCAGCAACAAGTTGGAAGCAGAATTTAATTCATCGTACTGATAAGACTTATCAAGATCTGATTTCATTGATGATCCGATATCAAGACCAACTCCTTCAGCATTATGTAAGGAAGATACAAAACTGCTGTCATCACCAATATTTTCACTGTTTGTAATGGTTTCATCTATCTCATCAAAGAATGATTTCTCTTTTTCATCTAGTGGAGGAAAGTTAATGTTTGACAATCGATGTGATTTGCCAACTAAATATGCGGTTGATGAGCTGTTATTTTGATCATCAGCAATTTCCTCATGAGAAGGGTTATCTCCATACTCTATACGAGGGACTTCAAATGCATTGGAAACTGAAGTTTGGCTTGATGGTTTAGTTGGAGAAATTTCTACGATGTCTAGATCTGTTGACTCCACTTGTTTATTCCCTTCAGGGACATGGAAGTTGGATTTTTTGCTTAATTCTTTATTTGAAATTGGGACAGCATCTGATATATGTTCATTGCTTCCCTTCCCAGTTTTTTCACTGTTAACTGCTTCAGGAGCTGAAGAGGTCACAGGTGTAATGTCATGAATAGCATTATTTACAGGACTAATATGGGACCTACCTTCCCTATAAGAAGGATCTGGTTCTTTTATACTACGATCTTCACAAAAGATCTTTGAATGGTCAACAGCAGTTTCATCAGTATCTTTTCCTGCAAATGCATCATTTTCCTTTCCAAACTCAAGATTTGAACAAGACTTGATAGACATATCCAAAAGAGGGTGAGTACCTTTGTTATCCAGATGGTGACATTTAGTGTCCAGGTCGGTCCTGTCTGACTGATAAGTATTTTGTTCAACAACTTCCTTGACACCTCCAGTGAACGTGGCCTGAACTGAACCACTGGCAGATATTTCACTGCAAAATTTTAAAACATATTTATAAGTAATATTTTGTATAAAGCAAGAAATTCAACAAATATCATTGTATAAATGTCTCAGATGCAAAAGTCTACCTAGCCTTAGGACCATAATAGGGCTTTGATGCACGAATTGCAGAATCTTGTCCGGATACCTTATTCCTATCTATTCCAGACAGATCTATCTGTAATAATATAAAGATGTCATTTTTTTGTGTAAAATGTCAAAGGCGTAGAAAGAGAACTAAAGAGCATATACCTTCTGTTCTGATATAAAGTTGTATAATGGACTCTGAGACAAGATTAAAATGGTTAATGTCATATATGCTGTGATAACATTTTATAAAAAGAAAATGAAAAACCATAATAGAAAAAAATAACCTTGGGTGTACAATTAAAATCCCCACAAATAACTATAGGGGCATTATTCCAGAGTTTAGAAAGAGCTTTAGCCTTTTCAAGTAGCACTCGAACCTGCTTGAAGTAAATATATAGGAAAAAGAAATTACAAGAAGAATTTGAAATCATATTTTAGACACTACAGTATCAGATGCAATAATGGATTCATCAAAATGGAAAAATGTTATGTCAAGCAGATAGTGCACACCTGGCCAAGCTTAATTTCTCCCCTGTTAGGATTGTAAAGCACATGAATGTTACAAACCACAACTTTACGAGAGCCTGACATGCTGCAGAATACTACGTTTATGTTATGTTATTCTGAATGCAAAAATAACCCATAGTAAGAAAAATGAAAAGAAAGCACTTAAGGCAATGAAGCGCCTCACTTATTTCAATAAAATCTGCATGTAGCCTAAATTCCTAATGCAATCAAAGATCAGCTCAAATAATCACACAACCTTGTAAACCATTCTAATATGGATAACGGAATAAACTACTTGTGCTAACGTATTTCATAACACAATGCCTTATTTAAGCAAGATTACTGGTCATGTGAACTTAATTAAAACTATACTCCATTGATTCCTTTTGATATTAAAAGGTAAAATAATTTGCTAAATGTAACAGTAACTTTCCTCAATCTTTTGCAAAACTTTAGAAGGCAGTATTCTTCACACTATGCATGGATACTCTCAATGGTTAAGTTAACTGACCGTTACAGGAACTTACAGGTATTACTTTTCATTATAAGAGCAAATTAGTCAAATACATATGGCACTATAGCAACAGATCAGATCAGAGCAGAGTGGCTTGAGGCTTTTCTATGGGATGCCCAGTGCTGTGTTTTTGGGTCATAGATGTGATCACAGCCAATATTGCAGCAACTCAGATGTTGCAACCATTGTGTACTGAAACAAGTTTCATCTTTGCCCCCATTTACAGTGTTTTCCAAGATTTTTCAAATATTTCTTCAATTTTCCCTCCACGTCTATCTACAGAAACATTATAGGGTTTAAAACCCTTCTTACCCACACATCATTGCAAAAAAACACACAGAAGTTAACCTCTGTTTCAAGCCAACTCGTGACCTCACAGCTTGCCAATATTGTGGCTGAGCCTGGTGATTTCTGACAACCACAGGTCTCTGTTCCTGTTCCTACACACTCACAAGTCTCTTTCCATCATGTGTTCAACTCAATTTGTGTTTGTGTTTTTCACTGTGTTGTGTTCCTCAATTTAAAGGCTAGCTGTTCTTTTTTTAAAATTCCACATGTTTCTACGGAAATTATTTGTTACTCATTTAGATTGTGACTTTTGATTATGAATTATTGATATATATCTTTAATTCAGGATAATTATTTGTTTTTTATTATTTATGTACCCATAATTATCTGTCTCGCATCTATAGTCTTTGACTTCTAGTACAGCAACTATCCCACTATATCATTTTGGGGTTGACCACTCCACTGTCCACATTTGATAACAATACATAGTTTTAAATGAAGATATATACAAATTCATTAATCCAAAAAATGAGAGTAATTTACCTGGATGGGATTGATCCGTTTTGATTAATGAGCTGTAGGATGAAAATATTGGAAAGAAATCCAAGCACGTCAATTAAGGGATGAAGAGTAAGACAAGTGAAGGTTCTTGGTTTATCTCAACAGAAAATTGAACATAGCAGATGACAGTATGAGAGCATTATGTACCTCTAGTACACATAGTTGAGCGACATTGTCCCTAAGTCCCATCTTATTAAACTCAATGCATTCTTCATATAGGAAATTGAACCTATGATAAATCATGGTAATGAGATTATTAAGTGTAAATAAAGAAATTCTCAATAAATGTATTATGGAAGCCTAAGGACAGGTCAGTCCCTCCACCCATAAAAAAAAATTAGGGAAAAGTAAAAATATAATATATACAAATGAATAATCCCAAAATGAGACAGATGAATCAACTATCAAGAAAATAAAAAATTAAAAAATTACTAATAATAGTTTCAATTTGTAAATATATTACTAAACGAAATTACATCTTTAATAATGACAGGACTCTGGCTTATACATCATATTTTTCACATTATTTTATTGTAGAATACTGCAATTTTATAATATCATTCTAATCTATAAACTAGTATAAGCCAAATAAATAAGGGTTAAACAACATGCACATAAATAAAATTGCAAAAGGAACACATAATTTTGCATGGCAAGAAACAAGCTTAACAAAACTACAAATGCATCAAAACGGTGAATGTTTAATCACTATTGGAGAAAACAAATTCTGCTAAGATAATCAGCAAGGAGCATCCTGAGGAAAGTAAAGTTGAAGAGAACCTAGATTTTTGCCAAAAGATTGCACAGCCATCAACTGGATTACCTGTACGCATCTACACGTAGACAGAAGGCTATTAGACTTTATAATGCAACAGAACTATTTATCTTTCTTTCAAATTTAATCGAAATAATCAAAATGAGAACTGCTATGTCAAAAGAAAAATACTGCTGAAAAGTCACGTGAAGATATGTCACTGCACATAACTAAGTTAAAACTTGTTGATTATATTGGAGGGAAGTGAGAAAGTAGCCAATCAACATCAATCAACTAGATGAAGAAGCACATATGTAGAAATATCCTCATGTAAAAGCATAGTGACTTTTTAATTAGTTAATGTTAATGACAGCATTTGTACCATACAAGATGACAGAGATCCATAATGCAAGATGGGAAGAACATGTATACATTCTGAATTTTTGTAATGATTAACAAATCATCTAATATCTGATATTCTGATCATTGCATAAAAACAAAAGCACTGTCATTATAAAAACCTTCTAGATAAATTCAAACAAGAAACAGAGCATGATACAAACCAATGCATATCAAAAAATGCACAAGCAGAATTGAACAGAAAAGTTCAGAATATGGGTGCTTATATAATGAACCTTAAGGCAAGTAGCACTTCTAAATTCTAACCAACCTTCCAGATACCACTGTATCCCTTAGGCTTCAACTCCTCTGCCAACTCATGAAATCTATCAACCTCCTGGAAGTTATAGCAAAAAATCGAAAGAGAATAATTCTATATTCAGTCAATTTTTCCAAGTGTAATACCCACTCACACAATAATAGTAAAATATAAATATTACATGATTGGTAATGAAAGAGGCCAAAGAAAAAATTTAAAATTCCAAAGATACATATTTTTTCTAAGCTGATATGTTAATGAAACTGAAAAATCTTGTTTGGAAACAAATGCAACACACTTTTCTCAAAATGATGAGATCTAAAAGTCTAGTCTGCCCTTAACAATTGTAAGTGAAGAATTATTCCTGCCATATCTCTTATCTTAAAATGTGATTGCCAAGTATAACATCCTTGTTTTGTATCATGATTATAACACATGCCAAACCAAAATTTACAACATTATATAATCACAAACATGTTAAAAAAGCTTATTAAGTGAATCGTAAACATTGGGGACTGTAGAGTAATATGTAACATAATTTATCACAAACCTGCAAACACAAGATATCAGCTGACCAAAGCCCCAACTCAAAAAGTATGCTTCTCTTTCTCCGGTGCCAGTCCAAAATGTATGGAGGTATGTGAAAATAAAGTTTGTTCCGGTGGTCCAAAGCTAGGTAGTCAGCCAATATATTATAGGAAAGAACTTTAAACCGCTCCGCTGAGCATAGAATAAAAAAATCAAAAGATAATTTAGTTTAAGGACATATAATTCCTAAACAAGCAACTAGGAATCTATGAGAAACAAGGAGTGAAAGAAGAAAAAAATCAATCAATCAAAGAGAGGGGACACTATAAATAATCAACCCAAAGCCTACACCTCTCACTAGTCAAATTATAACATTTTCAAGGTTGTACAGTCAGCTATTACATCAAGCTCACTTTAAGCAAAACATTGAAATTCTCAATCTCACAATTCTTCTTACCAACGACAAGCCCTCATCTTTGAATCAAACTTGTGAAATTGCACGCGAAGCAAGAGCCATTTACCAAACTACTCATCTGAAATTGTTCCTTAATGGCGTTTTGATTTCTCGAATATACAAAAATTAGCACTCAAAACTCAAAAAGCAAAAGCTAGTGATTGCTTTGATCCACGATAACTCATAGCTAACCACAAAACATTACGTTTTCTTAATCTGATAGGTTGAACAATGCAATGCATCAACGTCAGGGATCCAAACATTAACATTCAGCATCAGGCCAAAATTTGACTTCTTTGGTTCTTCCTAAACCCTAAGGTAGAAACCTAAGTCACCATCACACAGCACAAGAGTGAGGTTACCATGAGGAGGCGGTGGCGGCGTCAGGACAAGCTCCCAGTCTCGATAATCCGGCGGCCTCTCCCGGAGATGCTTCGGACGACGAAACGCCGGACGATATTCCGGCGGAGGATTCTGCCGAAACTGCAGCGGAGGATGCTGCGGAAACTGCGGTGGAGGAGGCTGCCGAAACTGCGGTGGAGGAGGCTGCCGAAACGGCGGCGGAGGAGGCAGCCGAAACTGCGGCGGAGGGGGACGGAACTGAGGCTGGCGATGGTGAGGCGGTGGCGGATGAGGCCTTGAACTATACGATGGACTCTGATGATACGGAGTTTGGTTCGCGAAGCTTTCACTCTCTCCTCGTAGGAGTCCTAAATTGGCATCGCGGACCGAGCCTAAGTGCGCGTCACCGGAGACAGCGTGACCTCTGCCGCCGGAGAAGCCTCTACCGCGTCCTCGATGCTGTGAAAAAAAAAAAAAAAGTGAGAGTTTAAGATGGCGAGTGCATGAATGTGTTCTTGCAGTGATAAGCATTTGTTTGAAGAGAGAGTACGGGTTGGCGTGAAGACAATGAGGTTGCTGTGGCTGTAGCCGCCCGGGTGTCGGTGGCGGCGAGGAAATGGATGGAGGGATGAGTGCGTCGCATTGAAGCAGAGAGATGCACGCAGCTCAGGTGACACGTTGGTGTGGTCTGAAAATTTGAAGAGCAGACCAGAAAATGTAAATGGTAACTTCGAATATAAAATTTTCGATTATACTAATCAATTTTTTAGGTCCAATTAAATTTTAATATATTTCAAAAATTATTTTAAAATATTAATTAATAATTAAATTTAAATTATTAAATAATAAAGATAAATGCATAACATTAATATAAAATATAAAGATAGATAATCAACATGAACATTAAATATATTTATATTTTAGTTTTTCTGTTAAAAAAGTAATTGATTATTTGATTTATAAAAATATATGATTTTAATTATTTTACATACTTAAATATAATATATTCTTTTTTTACATATATTACCTACACAATTCTATTTTATTTATTCTCAACAAACTTGTCAAATTCAAAAATATATTTAACACACCTTTTTTAGATAACTCACCTAAATCGTCTGACAATAAGGTATTATAAATGAGACATTTAATCAATTCTTATGGTTTTTTTAATATTAAAACTTAAATAATAAGAAAAAAAATCAATTTTCACCACTTTATTCTAAATGACTCCAATATTTATAGAATTAGCGGCGAAATCACGGGAGATTGGCATGATAAAAAAATTATTTCTTTTAAATTTTATTACAAATATATATTATGATTCTGCTAAAAATAATTATATGTACTAATCAAACTAATTACCTAATTTTGTCTCTAAATAAAATAACATATTCTACAAATTCTCAAATTCAATATATAAATTATTATATATACCATATTATGTTTTTAATAAAAAATATTATATTTCTTATTTACACAGTTTTTTAGAGGTTAAGGGACTGTCACCTGAAAATGTTATAATTTATATTAATATTTATAATTTCATAATTTCAATCCTTAAAATAAATATTAAATATATTTATAAATTTAATTTTTTACTCTTTCTTCTTTTAATTATTTATTAATAATATATTATTTAATTGTTTAATATCCCCCGCAATTAAATATCTATTATACTTAAACCATATATTCACGATAAATCACATCACTCATCATTTTACATAAGAAAAAAACAACCTAAATTACATTCCCATAATATAGTATTTATGAATTAAAGCGCTAGTAATATAAAATACAACCTTACGTATATCCAAATCAAAATTAACATTTCATTCAATTGAAAATAAAATATGTATCATAATCTAAAATATAAGTTTAACATTTAATCATATAAAGTGAATTTAAGAAGAAAAATAGTAAAATATAATAGAGAACTTGATATAAATATAAATGTTGCTTAAGAGTGATAATATTTCATAAATAACATTTTCTATTAAAATTTATACAAGTTTTTAGTGTTTAATGACTTGATTAGTGCTTACTTACTTGAGTTGTGGCTCTTCATTCAAGTTGTGGACTCCTCATTTTTATCATTTGATATATGCAAAATTAAAATTCTACATAATGTTACTAGATTGATTAAAACAAATTAAATTTCTACCAAAATAGTTTCTTGATCATTTTTTTAAAATAATTAGATAATTTAGTTCTATTTATTTAACATCATGAGTTAGTCTAAGAAAAATCCAAAACAAATAAACACACAATAATTCTAATTAAGACATTAGAAAACTTAAGACATGTGTTTAAACTCTAAAAATAAAACTAAACAAATATTGTTAGTCCCGTTGAAACTAGTTACACCAATTTGATTTAATTTTAAAATTTCATCAATTTATTATTATCTTATTTATGTCAATTATTTAAGCACAATGTCATCATATTACAAAATATGTATCAAGATCAATCAAATAATGATTATGATTATAATTCAATACCTACATCACAATATTAATTATAACAAGATCAATACAACTTATCATCAAATCACAATCTCATTGACTTTCCTAATTCAATACCTACATTCACTCTCAATGACTCATCACCTAGTAAAACACAAAACTCTTATCAATTTGATTTGTGACCAAGTCACAATAAACATACAATTAGCTTTCAAACTTAATATACTATCGTGAAATTCAAATAAACTAGTTTTTGTTACTTAATTGACCCTGTTAGAAAAAACCTAATTAACAAAAATAACACATCACAAGAGACCTACACTAGGATATATTAAACTTTACCGAAAAAAGCTCACATGTGAAACTTAAAACCTTGCATAAAAAAATAAAATAAAATAAAACTTACTCTACTTAATATTTTAAAATATCGAAATGATATAATTTGTGTTAGCTTCCAAAATATGGATGAATAACTTCAAATTTAAAATATCACTCTAAAATTATAGAGAGAACTTAGAAATTTTAGCATGTATATATTAATTTTACATAAATAAAATATAAAATATTTATCGTTTTTATTTTAATGTTTTGAAAAAAATTAGTATTTTAAACCCTTAAAATTCGATTTTTGCATTCAATAATAATAAAAACAAACAAACTTGTAAACAACAAAATAAATAATTCTAATATTATAAAAAGTAAAGTCGGTACAAATTATAATAACTAATTGACTTAAGCTCGTGTTGTTTTATAATATTTTTTCTTACATCTATAAAATTATAGTTTTCTCCAAACATTAACATTAACAGGTTAAAAATTATGATAGTCGTTAAACAACTTACTAACCGACAATGATATTTACAATGGCTATTCATGGACTAAAAAACTAATTTTATTGATTTTTTATGTTTATAATATTTTGTTATCCAACTTTTTAATGTTATTGTGCATTGATTATGTTGTTACAATTATTGTTTGGACAATGTAATTCCATTTTGAAATTTTTGTTTGAAATCTAATTTGCAAGAACTCTCTTTATAGATTATTAAGAAAATCCTGGAGTTTTTGACGTGGTATTTTGAAATATTTCATAAAAAATATTTTACCTCAACAAAATTTTAAAGAATCTCTCCCAATACACGTCAATAATTTTTGGTCAGAGACAAATAGTTGGATATAAAACAATATTTACGTTAAAACACAAATTCTATAGAAATTATTTTAATAAATAAGGGATTTTAGAATAATTAAAACATCTTTTTAAAAATTAAATAATAAATTTAGAGATAGTAATGATAATAAATTTTATATTATTATAATAATAATATATTTTTTTAATTTTATTAAGTTATGATTGACAATTTAGTTGTTAATTATTTAAATTAAAAAATATTATGATCTATCGAAACAAATTTATGGAGTAGAAGGGAGATTTAATTTAATTAATAATATATTTTAAAAATAAAAAAAAATTAAACATAATTTTTAATATTTTATTTAATTATATATAATTATTTTTTAGTTTTTATTTAATTATATTTATTTATTTAATATTTATTTAATTTTTTATTCTGTTTTATTCTTCTAATTAAAAAATATTATACTAAAAAATTGATAAAAATATATTAAAATACATTTTAAAATTAATATTAAAATAAAAAAATAAATATTTTAAAATATTTTTTTAAATAATTTAATTTAACTAATCATTATAATTATATTTAGATTAAATTATTAAATAAAAAATAAATACTTAACATTTTTTAATTACATAAATAATTAATTTATAATAAATAATTTTAAATTATTTATTATTATCATAAATAAAATTATTTATTATTATTATTATTATAATTCTAAATAATTAATAGATATTTTATAATTTAAATGATTTAAAAAAAATTACTTTTAACAGAAAAAGTTGAAATTACAAGAAATGGAATAGACGATGTCGTTTGAGCCACGTTTGATGTCAAACCCAAAACTCTGCACGGCAAAATCCCAATTTGTGTATCAGTGACTCCACGCTTCAAGCCCTAGGGTACTACTGGTACTTTTGATCGCAAACACATTCTCCTTTAACGTTATCAGTTTCATTTATCAAAACCATTTCGTTAAGCCTTTTCGAGTATTAAGTATATCTAGGTTTGAATGATTTTTGTGAAAACTGAGAAGGTCAACATGAAACGCTATTTGTGAAGGGTTTATCACAAATTGAAGCTCGAAGATATCATTGTTACGGTTAAGGATTTGTTTTCAAATTGCTTTGTGTTGTAACTTTTGACTTAGATTTTGTTTTTAGATTGATACATTAAATGGGTTGGAAAGCAGCTGAGAAACTCATTAGGCACTGGAAAGTTCTCAGAGGGGATAATGTAAGTCAAGCCAAGCCAACTTCCCCACCATATATATATATATATATATATATATGTATATATATATATATATATATATGTATATATATGTATATATTATTGCCTTTTCTTTCCCACTTCCACTTTTTATTTTGTAACAGGTTATGATAATAAGGGGTTAAGATAAGGGTGAGACTGGGACGATTAAGCGCGTTATTCGCTCTCAGAATCGCGTTATTGTTGAGGGTAAAAATCTGGTGAGTGATGAACACAACACTCATCATAAAAAGATTGGGTCCAATTTTTTATTAAGTGTCTGCATTTTCAATTCCATTATTGATCTTTCTTGCATTAGAATCTTTATTAATTGTCTAATTGAGATTTGGACATGTCATTTTGTGAATTTGCCTGATTGATTGCTCACTCCAATGCCGATTAACTTTCACTTTGCAGGTGAAGAAGCATATCAAGCAAGGGCAAGGTCATGAAGGGGGCATCTTTGCAGTGGAAGCCCCAATCCATGCCTCCAATGTGCAAGTTCTTGATCCAGTGACAGGGTATACACATTTGTTCAAAAATTGAACTTGTTATTGCATATCCTGCTGAGGTTGGGGATAACATATATTGAGTTAACGAAGTTTTACTTTTGCAGGAAGCCTTGCAAGGTTGGAGTTAAATATCTTGAAGATGGTACTAAAGTCAGGGTATCCAGAGGAATAGGAGCATCTGGGTCCATAATCCCTCGTCCTGAGATCTTAAAGATAAGAACTACCCCACGACCTACTGTCCGTAAGTATCCAAAGGCTAATGCTTTTTCTTGTCTAAGTTGCTGATAAACGTGGCAAGAACTGAGAGAGAATTGACTGAAAAATAGAAACTGGTGGTGTATTTGGATTGAACTGAATAAGGTGTGTACAACAAGCCAACAATGTGACTTATGCTGACCAGAGAAAGAGAGAAACAAACAATAATTTCCAAACAAGAGAGAACACGATTATAACATGTTTTAAATGGAAGACCATATAATCTCCAAAATTAGTCCAATCCAAACATATAGATTACTCATCAAATTAAGAAAACTATGGTGATAATAGTTCATTTTTCTCGTTCATTCCCTTAATGTATCATTACTCTTTTTGCTACCAGTCTGTTAGGATGCTGGCATAATGATTACCCATAAGCTTGTAATATTTGGCCTGGACGGAGAGTTTCCTTACACTTTAGAGACATTCTTTGAACTGGCCACTTCTGTTGAAATCCTTCATTATGTTGGCAGTAGCTGAGAGTATAAGTGTCTTATAGAAAAATGCTTGGGAGAGTGAGCTCTCAGCAGATCTATTTTTATATGTTAGTCTGAATAGAAATACAAAATGGCTGACAGAAAACCTACACCAAGGACCCTATATGTTGACAAGGATAGCCAAAACAACTTTTAGAAATAATCTAGAAGACAATAGAAAGCCTATTTTCTAACAGCAGTAAGCACCAGAACATAGAAGTAAGCCTTTGGGAAAGGCTGTTGGTGGGGAGGATGCTAATCATCAAAGATTCAGGACTCAAAGAGTGTCTTCCATTTTCTTAAAATCTTGCTTCTATGGTGTGAGCTTTTGTTAGTAGATCCCTACTCCTTCATATTGACCCACTGACGTGCCTTCATATGCAGAAGATAAGTAAAAGTTATATTTGTATGGTATAACACTAATTTATTTCCAGAGTAATTTGGATTGAAGGACCAAGTCTTTTGTAATATGAATTTTGAGTCAGAAGCTAGGTTCAAGGTAGTAGTAAGTGGCAAAACTCATCTCTTGGTCATCCTCCATAGCTATGTTATTAAGCTAGTTGTTAGAAGCTACTTACTCCCGTTGTTGTAAATGTGCAAAATTTGTATGGAGTATATGAAATTAAAATTTAGTGGAAACCTATGCCTTTTCAATTTTCAGTCATTTCAGAGATACATTTTAACATTATTCTGAAGCCCAAAAAACTTATCCTGATTGTTATTTATTTTTGGCAGTTGGTCCAAAAGATACTCCAATGGATCTTGTGTTAGAGAAGACTTACGATGCTAAAACAGGAAGGGGAATGCCTGAGCTTTAAGGATAATAGGTACTTTATTCAAAGTAGTGAGTTGCCATCACGATGAACAAGTCATGGAAAGAGTTTGTCGCATGTTTTGTATTCTGTGGAGTTGCTTTCAAATTTTGCTTGTTTAATGTGATTGTATCTATGATTTACCAACAGCTAAAAACAATTAATAATTATTTTTATCTTTTTCTATTCAATTAATTTAGCTCTTTTGAGGCTGGTGATTTAACTTTCACTCCAGAATTGTTAGTGACTGAAACAAAGAATCTCTTTGATAGTTATGGTTCTAATGATTTTATTAAAGAGTTTTTATTTTAGCTCCATAAAGGCCTCACCTTTTAAAAGGTGGAACTCATTCACCCAGTTTCATCGAACCTTACAGTAAAAAATCAGGTTGCATAAAATTGGTCAAAATTTTTTAGCCCGATGTTATGAAAAGCGTATGTTGATAGCTAACTCAAGACTAACTTACTGGTAAATTTGTTTGGTTTGTTGACCTCATTTTTACTTTTTGTTGTAATTACCATTGATTTTATGGTGTTAATATATTATATTTGAGAAAACCCTTAATAGAATTCAGCATCTACCGACTACAAACAGCCATCCGCCACTAATACTATCAACTAAATTAATCAACTTCCTTAATAAGTGTGAATTAGATGTTTTTGATAAATAATCTCCTTTCATTCCTAGATATTAGACATTGATAAATAATTCACACCTAGTTATTGTAGTAAATATTCAAGCAAATAAATGAGTTTGAGTAAAAAAAATTAGATGTAATCGATACTCTTTTAACTCTAAAAGAATTTAATATATAAGGAAAGTAATTAATGCGGGGGACAATTAGGAAGAAAGTTCAGTAGAAAGGATAAGGAATTTCAAAATAATTTTTCATAATGAAGGATCGCAGGAGTATAATTTATGGCTAGTTTATCTCATTAATCTAATATTTATTTTATATTTTTATAGTAAATAAAGAGAAGGATTATATATATATATATATATATATATATATATATATAATATTAAGAAAATTTATATAAAAAAGGAATGAATGCAGGTCATATTTTAATAATTTCTTTAATTTTTCTATAGACATGGAGGAGACTTATGTTTTATTATGTTTAATTCATGATTGAACGGGGAATGCTACCATACTTTATCGTACGGTTATATGTTAATTTTCAACTTATTACACCTTTCATTCCAATTATTATTAGTGAAAATGGAGAGATATTTATTTTTATTTTATAAAGTTGACTAATAAAGTGAGATTTGTATTTTATTTATATATTATGATTGTATATTATAATTTTATTATATATCTGATTATATATATGATTTTAACATATCTACACCTTATAATGAAGATTTTATAATTGCTCTATAAGAGAATATCATTTTCTAGTTATAATTTATTAAACATTTTAAAAAATGGTTAATAAATAAAATGTAAAGCTTACAAACATATGCTCCACACATGCTTCATGGAGCATGACAAAACACAATTCATCATTTTGCAATATTTATTGTCATTTAAAAAAAAACATCCATTCTATATTTATTTTTGAAGGTATGAAACATTAACGAAAAATCAGATCACTCGTCAAAATACGAATTTGTTTATTAAGAAATTAAATTCGCATTATCTTATGTATTTAAGAATATAAATAGTTATTATCCTTAATTTAATATATGCTGGACCAAAATTTATAAAAATACAAAATTAAATAAAATAATAAAACTACATTAGTTAAAGTAATATGTTTTAATTTTAGTAAGTATCTTTAAACTAACTTCTCTATTTGTAACATGTTTATAAATTAATTTAATTTATGGTGAAATCAATTTTGTTCTTCTTCTTTTGAAAGTCTTTTTGAACAACTCTTTCAAAAAATATACATAATATTTATTCCAATGAAACAGAAGACATTCATAAAAAATAATGTAAGCGCTACAAGAGAAAGAGAGAAAACAAAAAAAATATGAATGATAAATATATATATATATATATATATATATATATATATATATATATATATATATATATATATATATATATATATATGGAGAAGAGATTCAATGAATAATTTATAAGGTTGGGTTTGCACATTCATTATTAGGAGATTTCAACAATTTATAAGTTCTTAAATATTTTATTTAAATAAGATTTATTATCTTGTGTACTTTTAAACAATTTATATTAAATTTTTACAAGTTTTTTTTTCAATGGGTAGTTTTTATATAAGCACCCATGTTTTATAATATTTTTATTTTCGATAACTTAAATATTAATTATTGTAATTAAATATTAATTTAATATAATATTTTAATTTGAAATAATGATAAATTATAGATTTTTTTATAAAGATTTTTTTAATTTTAAATAAAACTAGTTTCTTTTAGAAAAAAGTTATAAGATCAAAAATAAAATTAAACTACTTTTATAAAAATTAATTTTTTTTAAACTTATCAATAATTTTTTTTAAAGATGAATAATTAGTACTGATATCACGATTAATAATTTTATAATTTTTTATTTTATTCTCAAATACTAATATGATATTATTCAATCAAACATACTCCATATGATTTAATGAGTTATTTAAAATTTATGTGAATTTAATTTGACTCACATTTTAATATTTTTTAAGTTTTACCTAATCTTACATCGAGCCAATGAATCATTTTAGTTTATTTTTTAAAAATAAATAATTTTAAAAATATATTTATAAAATTTAAGTTATAGCAATAAAATTAATTTTAATTTTAGATATATAATTATAATTATATTCTTCAGTCTGTAAGTTATATACTATATTTTCATTTAACTCATATTAAATAATTTTAGTAAGAAATAATTTTATTTTATCTCGATCATAATTAAAATCGCAAAGTTATGTCCGTCAATTACTTATCATTATCTTATTTAATTTACCCTTTGCTTCAATACAAGAGTTAATATTATATTTGTTTAGAAAAAATATTTTTTTCTTATTTAACATCTTAAAATAGTTATTTCCTTTCTATTATCTTTCTTTTTTACTTTCTTTTCAGTATCTTATTTTTTTTTAATTAAAGTTCAAATATTGATTCTTAAGAGTTTATTAGAATAAAGAGACATCTCATAAATACAAAATACTTATAAAATTATATAGGTTTAATTGTACTTTTATTAGCATAAAGACACATCTCATAATTCTAGGGTTTATTAGAATAAATACACATATCACAACTCCGCATTTTACAAACATCGTAATTTTTTTTTAATTATTTTTGCAATTTTAAATTTTTATTATTTGCAAGTATGGTTCCCTAATTAATTTAGGTAATTTTGATGTTTCCATTTTTTATTATTCGTAATTTTGTTGAATTATAAAGGTCATGTAAAATTATGCCTAATTATTAAAAATTAAGGATAAGAACTTGCCTAAAAGGAAATTTAAGAACTAAGATTACGAATAACTAAATATTAAAGGAATTAAAGATCAAAATTGTGAATTTCATAAATTATTGATTACAACATTACAATTAAGCCAAGTTTTTGTAAATTATCTACCAAAGACAAATACTAAGAGATCTTTATATCATGAGTTGAATTTAAACTCATCAACCAAATACCAACACAAATTGTGAAGTTAACAAGCTTCTGTGAGACAGTATAGTAATGCTAAGAATCTAAAATATGGAGAGAAAGTAGAACAGATTGTGATGGTTGGGGAAGGAAAGCCAAGGGCAGTGATTGTTGGTGGTAGCATAGCTGGGATATCAACTGCACATGCTCTTACCTTATCTGGATGGAATGTGATTGTGCTTGAGAAAACCAATGCACCTCCTACAAGAAGTTCAACTGGTGCAGGTCTTGGACTTGACCCTCTGTCTCAAAGAATCATTCAGTCATGGCTTCCACAGCCACAACTTTTCCACAATCTCACTCTACCACTAACTATAGACCAGGTGCCACTCTCTTTGTCTTTGCTTTCCACTAAACTATCAATATATACCCTTTTCTAGCTTTTCTTCATTTGTGTTTTCTTTTTTGCTCCCTCTTTTCAATTATTCTCTCTAGAGAGGGTGAATTTTACCACTCATTTCAAAGGCCTAGTTCTCACTTGTTTAGACTTTGGAGTCCTGAAATTTGTTTAATTCTGAGTTCCCTTTTCGGTGTATGTATTTTGTAGTATCTATTATAACTAATTCGGTGCTAAAAATTGTGAACTCGAGTAGTTTCTGTGAATTCTGACGAGGGTTCATGGATGAGCTTGAGTTGAATGTTGCAATGAACATATGGAATGTGAGAGAGATAGAGCAATAGATAAATATAATTAATTTCAGCTATGCATGGGACTGTTTTCTCTGAGTAGTGAATGAGTGGTTGATTATAAATTAACCCTTATGATGATTATGTTTAGAACCAATCCCTTGACCAGATATAATCTTTTTGAAAAATAAATATACATAGATAAATATAACAAAAGCTAATTGAATTTCTGTGTACTGAATAGAATCAAGCAACTGATAATGAGAAGGTCAGTAGGACATTGGCAAGAGATGAGAGCTTCAACTTCAAAGCAGCACATTGGGCTGATCTTCATGGCCTTCTGTACAATGCACTGCCATCAACTGTATTTTTATGGGGTCACCTTTTTCTCTCTTTCCACGTTTCAGATGATAAGGGTTCTGTCAAAGTAAAGGCTAAGGTTCTAGATACTGGGACGGTTATAGAGATAGTAGGGGATTTGCTTGTTGCAGCAGATGGTTGTTTCTCTTCCATCCGCCAGAAATATCTTCATGATTATAAACTCAGGTATGTAACTCAGAATGTTGCTGATTTTAACTTGGTGTTTTTAAACCCTAAACCCTATTAGAAGACCAAGCCAATGTTCAACATAGGACGTGCTTAGATAATTTTTTTCATGAGTATTTTAGATGAAATACATTTTTCTATAAGCTAAGCTTATACATAAATCAAAATTATCTTTTAAAGAAGCTTATCTGAGAGAATTTCTATAAATTAGTCTATGCATAATAGAGAAACTTTTTTTCATTTCTTCGCATTTTCTTCTTCTAAAAGTGTTTATGGAGATGTTTATATAAAGTAATCCTGTATTAGTTCATAGATCAAAGTGTGACCATTGACTGAGTTCATCCTCTAATATGTTCTGCCTGAAGAAGGAACAATTTATTGGTATTCCTGTAGTATCTGCTATGCTCCCTTGATGGTTATCTTTCTTAATTTAGTAATTTTTCTTAATTTATATTTGAAAACATTTGAGTGTCTACATTTTAATGGAAGTAGTACCTAGTTCAGATCCTCTAATAAGGTTCAAGTGTCATTTGTAGGTATTCAGGCTATTGTGCTTGGAGAGGGGTCTTTGATTTTTCAGAAACTGAGACTTTAGAAACCGTCAAGGGCATAAGAAAGGCATACCCTGATATAGGAAAATGCTTGTACTCCAACTTGGGATCATGTACACACAGTGGTTTCTATGAGCTTCTAAATAAAAAGCTCAATTGGATTTGGTATGTGAACCAGCCAGAGCCAGAAGTGAAGGTAACTTGGTTCCTCTTATCCTATACTCCAATTAAGAAATGTCCCCCAACATTTCATATAATTATTTTTTCTACACTTTATCATGTCTAAAATATTCCCTACATGGTTGTGTTTGGATTCACTTTGGTTTATGTAGGATCACGTTGAGATTTCAGTTAGTGTAGTTTTAAAGAAATGTTTACATGTTTGATTTTGCTTTGAGGAATTGATTACTATGTTTATATGGTTTTTGAATTGAAACAACTTCAGGTAGTTTTTGCTGTTCTACCTCCAATTACAATTTATTTCACTCTTCATTCTGTAGTCAAATCAACTATTGCTGATTCTATATTTACATTTGGGAGCTAACTTTTTCAGGGTACTTCAGTGACCATGAAAGTCAGCAGTGACATGATCCAAAGGATGCTCCAAGAAGCAGAAAAAGTTTGGAGTCCTGAGTTTTTCAAGGTCATGAAAGAAACAAAGGAACCTTTCCTAAATGTCATATATGATGGTGAACCCTTGGGAAAGATCTTCTGGGACCATGTGGTATTGGTTGGAGATGCAGCTCACCCCACAACTCCTCACTGCCTTAGAAGCACAAACATGTCAATATTAGATGCAGCAGTGTTGGGAAAATGCCTTGAGAAGTTTGGAGCAGAAAAAGTAGGATCAGCTTTAGAAGAATATCAGCTCATCAGGCTACATGTAACTTCCAAGCAAGTTCTGCATGCAAGGCGTCTAGGCTGCATAAAACAAGGTCTAGTTCTACCTGATAGAGAACCTTTTAACCCCAACTCAGCCAAGAAAGAGGACTGTGAGGAACTTCTACAGAGGAACACTCCTTTTTTCAACTATGTGCCTTTGCTACTTGCTTCAATTCTACCTTCCATATAGTTAAGGTCTGTTTGGACAAACTCGTAGATAAGGACTTCTAGAAAAATAAGAAGAAAAATTGAATATGTGTTTCCTTATAAGTTAAAACTATCTTATGTAGAAGTTAAAAAATAAAAGTTTAACTACATGAGAGAGATTCTACAAATTAGCTCATGTATAAATTAATTTTAATTCATAAAGAAATTCATTTCACTTTTTCTTATCTTTCTCTACTAAAGTCTTCATGAAAAAGTTTGTTCAAATTGTTCAAAGTCTCATCCCACTAACTGAAATTTAGCTGCATAGATCACACAACATTATTGAGCTTAGACTCATGCAAATTTATAACACTTTTTTTGAAAAAAAAAAAAACACGTCAATATTATGCAATCTTGTCCCTCACAAACTTTTTCTGATATTGAACAGCTTCATTAGTAACACTACTTATATGCCACTATAGTTTTTGTTCAAGTTAGAAAGGTATAGAATTGTAACAAAACTGTTAACTGATACTGTATTTGTTGATGGCATAATTACCTTATTTTGTGCAGTTTCAATGGTTTAGTGTACTTCTTACCAATTCTTAGCAGTTCATCTTACGACATGTATCACACAGATCGGAAGGTAAAAAAGATCTTAAGGGTTAAGTACCTGGTCACTAAATGTGCTGGTTTTGCTTAGTTTTGAACAATCCACAAAATATTCTTCTTGTGTGAATTTTATTAATGTATGCTGTAAGTTATTTTTATAATAAAACAAACTTATTTTTAAAAATTATCCTAAAAATATTATTGAAATAATTATAAAAAAAACACACTTATTTTTAGCTGCATAGATCACACAACATTATTGAGCTTAGACTCATGCAAATTTATAACACTTTTTTTGAAAAAAAAAAAACACGTCAATATTATGCAATCTTGTCCCTCACAAACTTTTTCTGATATTGAACAGCTTCATTAGTAACACTACTTATATGCCACTATAGTTTTTGTTCAAGTTAGAAAGGTATAGAATTGTAACAAAACTGTTAACTGATACTGTATTTGTTGATGGCATAATTACCTTATTTTGTGCAGTTTCAATGGTTTAGTGTACTTCTTACCAATTCTTAGCAGTTCATCTTACGACATGTATCACACAGATCGGAAGGTAAAAAAGATCTTAAGGGTTAAGTACCTGGTCACTAAATGTGCTGGTTTTGCTTAGTTTTGAACAATCCACAAAATATTCTTCTTGTGTGAATTTTATTAATGTATGCTGTAAGTTATTTTTATAATAAAACAAACTTATTTTTAAAAATTATCCTAAAAATATTATTGAAATAATTATAAAAAAAACAGATTATGGTATATATATATATAAATCCTTCTTAACCTTAAATATTTTATTTCATCGATCTTACGTTGTTAAATGACTTAAAACATAAAAGTAATCTAAAATTAATAAATTCACAATTAAATACATTAAATAATAAGATCTAATTAATAATATAAAATGCTATATTTGTTAGTATTCCTTCTACAATTATCTTCAAATTACATCTGTTTATGAACATCACATCTCTAATATATGAATAACTCAAGTGAATAATAAAATAATATATGTTGAATAATGAAAAAGGCGTATCCATAAGAATTGAATACAAATAAGGAAATTTACAATAATTTATGCATTAGGCTAAATTTAGACCTCTTGACTTATTAAAAATTTATTGGAATCTATAAAATTGAGAGAATCATTGAATAATCCGAAAGTTTTTTTTTTTCAAATTGTATTTTTCAGCATGTGTCAAGGATTTTAGAAGTGTATTTTTATCCATAAAAAATATACTTGTGTGGTGGAGGAAGAAAAAAATAAAAAATTCTGCAATTTTTTGCATGTGTAGATTAATAAACTGCCAAAAAAGAAAAAAAAATTTCGCAAATTCCAAACAGAATTTATTTATTTTTATTGGATTGGACTAAACATAGAGCATAATATTGGGCTGACACATTTTTTTCTCTACCTCCATATTTTCTCTCTGCACCCCATATTTATTTGAGAAGATAGTAGTACCCTTAGTTTTATGAAATGAGTTATAAGCCTATAATGAAATATTCTAGATTAAAAAATCTGAATAAATTTAGGATGAATGGATCCAAAAATATAATTCTTTCAAGGTTCGAATTATGAAATCCAAAATATAATTTTATCATTCCATAAAGATTAAATAAAAAGGTTTTCGGAAAGCTAAATTTAGAAATGAATTTTCACATATACAATTTAAGTTTTTTATTCATTCTTCTAAAAGATTTCCGGAAAACTTACTCTGAAAAGTTTTCAAAAGAATAAATCCAAAACTTATTATTTACATCAAAGATAATATCATCATTTTAAATAAATATAGGGTGGATGAAGAAATAGCCTATTTGGTTTTTCTTAATCAAATTGGACCCAATATGAGCCTCTCCAAGAGATCTTATAGACATATGGACATAAATGTAAATATGGACCCAAATGTAAATATGGGGCCCAATATCACTGTACAGAGATATGTTTCATCTGTGAGTGATATTAATTTGATACTTGAAGAAGAGAGTGGCATAGGAAATATGGTTGGTGAAGGAGAAAAACCAAAGGCAGTGATAGTGGGAGGTAGCATAGCAGGTCTATCAACTGCACGTGCTCTTACCTTAGCTGGTTGGGATGTTCTTGTGCTTGAGAAAACTATTTTATCTCCGACTGGAAGCCCCACTGGTGCTGGTCTGGGACACAACTCTTTGTCCCAACAAAACATTCACTCATGGCTTACACAATCACAACAACTCCTAAACAACACCACTTTACCTCTAACCATTGATCAGGTGCCACCCTTTTTGGTTTCATATTTTGTTTTAATTACTTTATTTTGTTTTTTGTGTTAGAGCTTTTTGGGCATTCTCTTGTTCATTGTTTCTTATGCCAGAATGTTGTGTACCTGTTGAGAAACAAGTATCTAAATAAAGCACTCTGCATATTATCACTTGATGTGTTTACAATGAGTGATGCATGGTCAATTTATATGCCTTTGGATATGGCCTCTTAACTACATGCATTTATTACAACTACTACCTCTCAACTACATACATTCAATACAACCACTGTCTCTCAACTACATACATTCAATACAACTACTACCTCTATAACCACTACCTCTCAACTACATGCATTTAATGTTTACCTAACAAAATCTCCCCATAAACTTAAATGCTTTTCTTATCCTTCATTCCAAGCATCTTCTTGCTGTTCTCGAACAGAGTGGTTGGCAGTGGCTTCGTGAACATATCTGCAGCTTGTGCATCTGTGTTGAGCTGCTAAGGAAATCAACAACCTAATTGTTTCCATTCTCGTCACTGGAGCGAATACTTCATCATAGTTTATTCCTTCCTTCTGCTTGTACCCCTTCACTACGAGTCGAGCTTTATATCGCTCAACTTCTCCTTTAGCATTTGTCTTTTTCTTGTACACCCACTTTACGCCGATAGGCCGCGTTCCTTTGGGCAAATCAGTCAGCTCCCATGTGTTGTTGCATTCTATTGCCCCGATCTCCTCGTCCATTGCCTTTTTCCACCTTTTCTCCTGCACGACCTCTTCAAAATTTAAGTCTTCTGAATCTGCCAAGAGACATACAACATGCACTTCGTCAGTGGAGTTGTATATATCTTGTAAACTTCGCGCTCTGGGCTATAGAGGTTCATCTTCTTCATCAGAAGTCTCATGATCTCTCACAGTATGTGGTGTATCAACTTCTGAGCTTCTACTTCCTATGGACTCCTTCTCCGGATTGTTCCAACTCCACTCGCTTTCTTCATCAATTTGAACATCTCGGCTTATGATGACCTTCTTAGTTATTGGGTTAAACAACTTGTATGCCTTGGTTTTTTCATCATACCCAATAAGCACGTACTTTTTGCTTCTATCTTCGAGCTTGGTCCTTTGTTGAGCTGGAACATGACCATAAGTTATGCTACCAAACACTTTAAGGTGAGACACACTCGATTTTCTTCCACTCCAGACTTCTTGTGGTGTCTTCTCGTTCAGCTTAGCATGTGGACATCTATTTTGCACATAGATGACACATTGCACTGCTTCTGCCCAGAACTTCTTTGGCACGTTTTTACTTCTCAACATTGTTCAAACCATGTCAAGAATGGTTCGATTCTTCCTCTCGACAACTCCGTTTTGTTGGGGTGAGTATGGTGCTGTCAGAAATCTCCTTATCCCTTACTCCTCGCAATACTTCATGAGTTCGGATGAAATGAACTCGCCTCCTCGATCAGACCTAACAGATTTGATAGGCATGCCAGTCTCTTTCTCAACCATTGCTTTAAATCTTTTGAAAAATATACCCAGGTTTTTCTTGAAAAATCATCTATAAAAGAAATGAAATATCTTTTCCCACTGAAGGACTCAGGGGTAACCGGTACACAAATATCTGTGTGAATCAATCCGAGTTGTTCCTTTGCACGGTACTCGGTCGTCCTCAAAAATGAGGTCCTCGGATGCTTCCCGAGCACACACTCTTCACAAAATTTCTTTTCAAATTCCATAGACGAGAGACCTCGCACCATCTCTTTCTTTACCAACTTGGTCAGCCCGCCAAAATGCAAGTGGCCAAACCGAAAGTGCCACATCATTGCTTCATCCTTCACGTCAAGTTTCAAGCACCTCTCTTGGACTATCTTCAAGTCCAACTTGTACATTCTGTTCTTCTTCATTTCTACTCGGGCAATCAAACAATCCGACTTGTCCTTCAAGTATAGTACTCTGTCTTTCATCAGAACCGAGTAGCCTTTCTCCATCAGCTGGCCCATGCTCAATATGTTGCTTTTGAGATCGGGTACATAGTACACGTCTCTGATTTCTGTAGGTACCAGATTGTACCTCTGCCTTTTACCGCCACCTTTGATGCATCTCCAAATGATACGTGTCCGGCCTCAACTTTAGTGAGCTCCTTGAAAAGGTTCTTGTCCCCGCACATGTGGTTACTTGCTCCTGTATCAAGATACCAGAGTTGTCAGAACAGCTCGGACTTAGCTCGACATCTGAACTTTTCGACATCATCAATACTCCTTCTTCCTCAGTGTCCTCATAGAGGAGGTTTGTCTCCTTCTTCCTCTCATATCGGCAGTCCTTCGCGAAATGTCCAACCTTCCCACAATTATAACATTTGATACCTGAATAGCAGTCCTTAGCAAAATGACCGTACTTCCCACATTTGAAGCACTCAACTCCAGAATTGCTTGACTGACCACCTCGGCCTCTACCGTCATGACCTCTACCTTGTCTTCAGCCACGCTAGTTTTGTTGACTGACTTGCTCCTTGCCTCTTTCATATTCTCCTCTGTCTCTACCACCTCGGCCTTGAGTGTTCTGAGCATAAGGAACCTTCTTCTCCTTTAAGGTTGCCTTTGCTTGGAGTGCTTGATCAAGGGACTCCTCTTTCTTCTTCCTTCTCCGCTGCTCATGCGCTTCAAGCGACCCGGCAAACTCTTCCACCGAAAGCACCGACAAGTCCTTGGACTCTTCTATTGCGCAAACGATATTCTCAAAATCGTCAGTTAACGACCTTAAGATTTTCTCCACCACTCGGCAAGTGGGCAGCGTCTCTCCATTTCTTCCGAGTTGATTCATCACGGTCTCAACACGGGAGATGTACTCGGCAACCCCTTCGACCTCTTTCATCCTCATGCTTTCAAGCTCGCCTCTAAGAGTTTGAAGCCTGACTTGCTTCACGCGATTATCCCCTTTATTTGCCTTCTCCAGAATATCCCACGCTTCTTTTGAAGATTTAGCATTTGCTATCTTCTCAAAGCCGGACTCATCAACAGCTCGGTACAGTACGTACAAAGCCGTTTTGTCCTTTACTCGTGTTGTTCTCAATGCAGCAAGCTGAGCGATCGTCTGCTCGTCAATATTCTCTGGTTCTTGGTGCCCATTTTCGACCACATCCCATACTTCTTGGGAACCAAGGAGAGCCTTCATTTGCAGGCTCCAGTTATCATAGTTTACGCCTTTTGATAACTTTGGTAGGGGCATGCTGTTAGTTAAGTTGGCCATCTCGAACAAACTCTCTAACTCTCAAACACTCTCTTTAACGCACTCAGACACTCAGGCTCTCAAGCTCTGATGCCAATTTGTTGACAAACAAGTATCCAAATAAAGCATTCTGTATATTATCACTTGATGTGTTTGCAATGAGTGATGCATGGTCAATTTATAGGCCTTTGGATATGGCCTCTCAACTACATGCATTTATTACAACTACTACCTTTCAACTACATACATTCAATACAACCACTATCTCTCAACTACATACATTCAATACAACTACTACCTCTATAACCACTACCTCTCAACTACATGCATTTAATGTTTACCTAACAGTACCAAAGTTATGTTTTAATTATGATTGGTAATTAGTTAATACTTCAGTAAGGAATATTTCCAAGGATAAACCAATAAAAGGGATCCTTTTGATGTTGATATATATGGTTCAAGTAGATCCTAAGAGAAACTTTAGTCCTTCTTTATGATAATTATGGTTTTTTTTTTTTTTTTTTTTACCTGAGCAGAACCATGCAACTGATAGTGAGAAGAAGGTTAACAACACATTGACAAGAGATGAGAGTTTAAACTTCAGAGCAGCACATTGGGCAGATCTTCATGGCCTTCTGTACAATTCACTGCCATCAGATATATTTTTATGGGGTCACCTTTCTTTCTCTTTCCATGCTGTGGATGATAAGGGTTCTGTCATGGTAAATGCTAAGGTTCTAGAAACTGGCAAGGTTGTAGAGATAGTAGTGTTGTAAATTAAGGGGTATTGCAAAATAGAGCACACGTTACAGAAGACTGTTTCAGAGCACACGTTGCAGAAGACCGTTTCAGAGAACGTTTTAGAGAACGTTACAGAGAATGTTACAGGAAACATTACAGACCCACTACCAAGTCTTCCATAACTGTTACAGAATTTCTCTTATAAATAGAGACCACTTCACACTCTTCAGAACACACCTCTCTCATCTTCTCTTCTCTGATCTTTTCTGTGTTCCTGGGTTAATTTACTCTTTTGAGAGTTTCTTGCTAGTTTCTGAGATCCTTGGATATCCCGAGAAGTTCCTGTTGTATCCTGGGGGACTTGCGCAATACACCGCGGATAAGTCCTTAAGGGTAGTGATTATACACGCCTCAGGAATAAAGTTTGCTCGTGTCTCTGTCAGCTTTTACAACAATCTTAAGGACTTATGGCTGATAGTATGGATACCAACAACAACTCCACACCGGAAAAGACAAACAACATTTCCGGAACTCAAACTGTCTTTGCGAAACCGTTCCTGGACGTTACGAAAATTGAAGTTTTCACTGGGCAAAACTTCCGGCGCTGGCAAGAACGTATTTCTACTCTCTTAGACATGTATGGAGTGGCTTATGCTCTTACAACTACCAAACCTGACTCCAGTGCTACTGCTAAACAAACTGAAGATTGGGTTCATTCGAACAAGGTATGTCGACACACCTTGCTTAGTGCATTGTCTAATGATTTGTTCGATGTGTATTGTTCCTATAAGGAAGCCAAAGATATTTGGGATTCATTGATTCTCAAATACACTGCCGAAGATGTCGTGAGACAAAGGTTTGTTATTGGAAACTACTACCGCTGGGAGATGCTAGAAGATAAGGATATCAAGATCCAGATCAACGAGTACCACAAACTACTTGAAGATATTAAAGCCGAAAATATAGTCCTACCTGATGAGTTCGTTTCGGAACTTCTAATCGAAAAGCTTCCAGAATCTTGGACAGACTACAAACAACAACTAAAGCATAGACATAAACAGATGTCATTAGCAGATCTGATCACACACATCATCATCAAAGATACCAACCGGAAGGAGTGTGCTGCTGCAAGGGCTAAAGCATTATCAGTTAAGGCAAATATGATAGAAGACAAACCAACTCCAAAAAGGTACGAGAAAACACCTGATTATAAGAAGAAATTTAATTTTAAAAATTCTCGTCCCAATAGATCTAACCCCACCTTCAAGAAGAAGGGAAATTGCTTTGTCTGTGGAAAGCCGGGTCATCATGCACTCAGTGCAGACGTAGAATGAGAAACGACAATCCTCCTAAGGCAAATTTAGCCAAGGGAGAAGATACAATTATTGCGGTTGTTTCTCAAATAAACCTTGTGACAAATGTGAGCAAATGGGTGGTAGACTCTGGTGCTAGCAGGCACATCTGTGCAAACAGAAGTGCTTTTACCTCTTACACTAGTGTTGGGGATGGAGAAGAACATGTTTATCTCGGTGATTCCAGGACAACTCCTGTCTTAGGAAAATGAAAAGTTCTTCTAAAGCTCACATCTGGAAAGACTCTGGCCTTGAATGATGTGCTACATGTGCCATTAATCAGAGCTAATCTAATCTTTGTAGCACTATTGGGAAAAGTTGGGGTTAAAGTGTCATTCGAATCTAATAAGATTGTTATGACAAAAAATAATGTGTTTGTAGGGAAGGGATATTGTGATCAAGGTGTTTTTGTACTTAACATCTCTGAGGTTGTTAATGAATCATGTTCTTCTGCTTATATTATTGATTCATATGATCTGTGGCATGCTAGACTAGGACACGTGAATTCTTCGTACGTTTTGAAATTGCAACGATTGAGATTAGTCAATATTCATGATAAACAAAATAAGAAATGTGATATATGTGTAGAATCCAAAATAACTAAGAAAAGTTGTCAGTCTGTAGAACGTCAAACTGAACTTTTAGGATTAATTCATACTGATCTAGCTGATTTAAAACAAACCACGTCAAGAGGTGGTAAAAATTATTTTGTGACATTTATAGATGATTACTATAGATACACCAAAGTATATTTAATCAAACATAAAGATGAAGCATTTGACATGTTCTTAACTTACAAAGCGGAAGTAGAAAATCAACTAAATAGGAAAATTAAAAGGATTAGGTCAGATAGAGGTGGTGAATATACAACATTTAAAGATTATTGTCTTAAAGAAGGAATTGTTCACGAATTAACCCCACCCTATTCACCCGAGTCTAATGGAGTAGCTAAGAGAAAAAACAGAACTCTAAAAGAAATGATGAATGCCATGCTTATTAGCTATAGTGCACCTAATAACCTTTGGAGAGAAGCTCTACTTACAGCATGTTTTTTACAAAATAGGATACCACATAAGAAAATAGGTAATACTCCCTATGAGTTATGGAGAGGTTATAAACCTAATCTTAAATATTTAAGAGTGTGGGGGTGCCTAGCTAAGGTAATGTTACCCAATCATAAGAAAAGGAAAATAGGTTCTAAAACTTCTGATTGCATGTTCTTAGGCTATTCAGAACATAGTGCTGCCTATAGGTTTCTTGTCCTCAAAAGTGATGTAATTGAGCATAATACTATAGTAGAGACAAAAAATGTTGAGTTTTTTGAACATATTTTTCCTCTAAAGGTTAGTGAGACACCTAAACAATCTTTAGAGATTAATAGTGACAAAAATATATGAGGATTTGGGGAGAAGTAAAAGACAGAGGAAGGAAACCTCCTTTGGAGATGATTTCTACACTTATCTAGTTGAAAATGATCCAATGAGTTTTTTAGAGGCTACTAAGGCTCCTGATGCAATACATTGGGATAAGGCCATTAAGACTGAAATTGATTCAATTAAGAAAAATAATACTTGGACTTTGGTAGATTTGCCTAAAGGAACAAAACCTATTGGGTGTAAGTGGATCTTTAAGAAAAAGTATCATTCTGATGGATCCATAGATAAATATAAGGCAAGATTAGTAGCAAAGGGTTTTACTCAAAAATCCAACATTGATTATTTTGACACCTTTGCCCCTGTGACTAGGATTTCCTCTATTCGAGTTTTGTTAGCTCTAGCAGCTATCCATAAACTAGTTATACACCAAATGGATGTTAAGACAACCTTTTTGAATGGTGAATTAGAGGAGGAAATTTATATGACTCAACCTGAAGGGTGTGTTGTTCCAGGTCAAGAGAACAAAGTGTGCAGACTTTTAAAATCTTTATATGGATTAAAACAAGCACCAAAACAATGGCATGAAAAACTTGATAGTGTTCTACTTTGTAATGGTTTTTCAACTAATGATGCTGATAAATGTGTGTACTCTAAATTTGAGAGTGGTGAATGTGTCATTATATGTTTATATGTAGATGATATGCTAATATTTGGTACATGCATTGACATTGTCTCCAGAACTAAGTTGTTTCTGGGATCTAAATTTGAAATGAAGGATATGGGTGAAGCCAATGTGATTTTGGGTGTTAAAATCATAAGGAAGGGCGATAGTATTTTTCTATCACAAGAACAATATATTGAGAAACTTCTTAGGAAGTTTGGGTGTTATAACGCCAAACCAGTGAATACCCCTTATGATGCTAACTCTAAATTAAAGAAAAATAGAGGAGACTCAATCTCTTAACCTCAGTATGCCCAGGTAATTGGGAGCTTACTGCATTTAATGAGCTTTTCTAGACCTGACATTGCTTATGCAGTAGGTAGACTGAGTAAGTACACTCAATGTCCTAATCAAGAACATTAGAATGCACTTACAAGACTTATGAGATACTTAAGAGGTTCAATGGATTATGCCATTGAATATAGTGGATTTCCCGCTGTACTAGAAGGATACAGTGATGCTAACTGGATTTCTGATTCAGATGAGACAAAATCCACTAGTGGCTATGTATTCACACTCGGGGGTGGTGCGATTACATGGAAATCAGCCAGACAAACAATTATTGCAAGATCAAAAATGGAATCTGAATTTGTTGCTCTCGAAATGGCTGGTAGTGAAGCTGAGTGGTTGAAAAACTTCTTAGTAAACATTCCATTAGGAATAAAACCAATCCCGTCTGTATCAATACACTGTGATTGTCAATCGGCAATAGCTATAGCAAAAAATAAGAACTACAATGGAAAAAACAGACATATACAGTTGAGACATAATTTAGTGAAGCAGCTGCTAAAGAATGGAACAATCTCCATTGACTATGTGAAGTCAGAACGGAATCTAGCAGATCCTCTGACAAAACCCTTAGCGAGAAATATAATTTTAGAAACATCGAGGGGAATAGGCCTTAAGTAAATTGCAAACAAACAGGTGATGGTAACCCAACCTTTGTGATTGGAGATCCCATGAATAAAGTTCATATGGGTAAAAACAAGTCACTTGTTAGTTCTGCTAGCACTAAAATTGATTAAAATCAATTATGTCCATTCCTATGGTGTATATGTGAAAGTGCTAGATACTGCATTATTGAGAGGTTAAACTTTGTAATTAAAATTCTATGTGGAGTACGAATTTTAGTTTAAACAAAGTTTTTAAACGATTTCATATCCCTTAAGGGTGGTGTATGATTTGCAGCATACGCTTGATGAAGTCACCTATATTAGTGTCGAGTAGGGCCGCTTGTATGAGATCTTTGCAAGATTTCTAGAGCACTCATGAATACCGGGCACGCGCATGGCCTAGTAAGCGCAACACATCGATAACAGCAAGAATTGTGGGGGTGTATTGTGATTATTAAAACCGCTAACACACATTAAGTGTTTTGGTTCATATAGCTTGCTACACCAACTACACTGTGTGTTAAGTTTTTTAGTCTAAGACTGGTTCATATAGCTTGCTATACCAGCTCTGATGCATTACATCTTATATGAGACCCAGGATTTTCTTCTTTTATTTCTTTTATCCCCTTTTGTTTTGCAATATGTGGGGGATTGTTGTAAATTAAGGGGTATTGCAAAACAGAGCACACATTACAGAAGACTGTTTCAGAGCACACATTGCAGAAGACCGTTTCAGAGAACGTTTTAGAGAACGTTACAGAGAACGTTACAGGAAACGTTACAGACCCACTACCAAGTCTTCCATAACTGTTACAGACTTTCTCTTATAAATAGAGACCACTTCACACTCTTCAGAACACACCTCTCTCATCTTCTCTTCTCTGATCTTTTCTGTGTTCCTGGGTTAATTTACTCTTTGAGAGTTTCTTGCTAGTTTCTGAGATCCTCGGATATCCCGAGAAGTTCCTGTTGTATCCTGGGGGACTTGCGCAATACACCGCGGATAAGTCCTTAAGGGCAGTGATTATACACGCCTCAGGAATAAAGTTTGCTCGTGTCTCTGTCAGCTTTTACAACAAGTAGGGGATTTGCTTGTTGCAGCATATGGCTGTCTCTCTTCCATTTGCCAGAAATATCTCCCTGATTTTAAACTCAGGTTTGTATTCCAACCCAAAGGGATAAGACTTTTGTTGTCATTTGTATTTCAACATGGAGCTAGCATTAATTTTTCTCTATCCTTCAATCTGGAAAGATAAATGATATTTGTACAATAAATTATACCACAAATTAGAAAACGATGAGACATATAAATGATATGATGGAGTGAGATGGTCACAAAAACAATTATGTATAAATTGTTGTACTTGTAATATGAATAACACATCTTATCTGGTAAAGATCCTTTAGCGAGATCTGGTATCTTCTACAGATATTCAGGCTATTGTGCATGGAGAGGGGTTCTTGATTATTCAAAAAATGAGAATTCAGAGACCATCACTGGTATCAGAAAGACATACCCTGATCTAGGAAAATGCTTGTACTTTGACTTGGCGTCAGGCACACACACTGTGCTGTATGAGTTGCAAAACAAAAAACTCAATTGGGTTTGGTACGTGAGTCAGCCAGAGCCTGAAGTTAAGGTGATTTTGTTCCTCTCCATCCTTATACTTTCAATATTAAATATCCTGATTGATAATAATCCTGAAATGATTTCTTTGTCATTCTTCTCCTCAAAACATATTCCTGGTAAGTTTCATAAATATTCTAGCATAGTCTCTATTGTGATCTCAAATCTAGAGCGTATTCATGCTTCCATTTGTTGTCAAATCATCTTGTGCGTGATTGTAACTTGATACTTGGGGCCAAAGCTTTCTACTTTTCGGGGGACATCAGTGACAACGAAAGTAAATAGTGACATGATCCAGAAGATGCAGCAAGAGGCAGAGAAAAATTTCATTCCTGAGTTGGTAAAGGTCATAAAAGAAACAAGGGAACCTTTCTTAAATTTCATATATGATAGTGATCCCTTGGAGAATATATTTTGGGACAATGTGGTATTGGTAGGGGACGCCGCTCACCCCACCACTCCTCACTGTCTTAGAAGCACAAACATGTCCATATTAGATGCAGCAGTGTTAGGCAAATGCATGGAGAAGTGGGGAGCAGAAAATCTTGAATCAGCTTTAGAAGAGTATCAGTTCATTAGGCTACCAGTCACCTCCAAGCAAGTTTTGCATGCAAGGCGTCTAGGTCGCTTGAAACAAGGGCTGGTTCTACCTGATAGAGAACCTTTTGACCCAAAGTTAGTTAGGCCAGAGGACTATCAGGAGCTTCTACTGGGGAACACACCATTCTTTAATGATGTGCCTGAGTTACTTGGTTTAATACCATCTTCCAGTTCCCCATCTGATTGCTTGTAGCAGTGATTTTTATTACTGCATTGAAAATGGATGTCTTACCTTCCATACAACTATTTTTACACATCATACTTTTGGAACATTTCCCCTAACTGATTTGATTTTAAGCCTTAGGGTCTCAAACTTTGTTTTGACCATTAATAATTTTATCACCAAATTCATTCATTTCACATCTCATCCCAAAACTTAATCAAGAGCAAAATGCATTTTAATTTTCAATTTGTAAGTGGAAAACATTACAAACTCTGAACCTATGTTCAATTTTGAGAATCATGTGGCAGTATAAAGTACTGCTAGGAGGGGTCTACTTTTATTTGATTGGATTTTGAGAAATTAATCTCAGTCTCTGAACAAGGGAATGGGAAACTTTTACAAATGATAATAGTTACACACGTCCAGGTTGATTATCTGCTCTTCATCCACGCTAATTTCTATCAAATAAACACTCAAATATATCAGTTATATAAAATATAATTGATTAGGCATTAAGAGGAGCCTGTTTGATTTCCTTTTTTTGGGTTTGTTTTAAAATCTTTTCTAAACAAACTATATAATTAATCACTCAAAGTCTATGAAGTTTTGAAATTTTCAAGATATTTGAAATTTATAACTCAAAATACAGAAAGTTGGAGATGTTTTCGTTTTCACTTCTCAATGGCAGCAGATGGACAGAAGTTTCTTGGTTGAAGAGAGAGCACAAACTTCCTCTCCTCATTATTCGTTTATCATTTACGAGTTTATCATCAGGCACGAGCATATAGTGTGGAGCACTGTGGCTAAAAATAAGAACCTTATGTTAGGACTTTTCAGCGCTGCAGCATACAAGGCAAAAAAACTGTGTACACGTCCACAGCGAAAAGATGCTTCACTCTGCAAAGACATTGCATAAAATGATAAACAGAATAGGACAGATATCATATGATTTTATCCATCAAACAAGTATTTCTAATTTTTATTATTTAGAAAATAAAAACAGTTTTTGGAAAATGAAAATCAAACACACCCTTGCTAAATTAATTATTCCATGCAACTGCTTCCTTTCAAATACAATTGGATAATAACTTCTTCTCCTAAAAAATCTATTCAACAACCCATTTTAATATTATAATAATAATAATAATAATAAAAGTTGAAATTATATTAATTATCACTCCTCGTAAAAAAAATTAGGTAAAAAGTACTTATCAATGATATAACATAATAGAAAAAAAAAACATGAGTTACTTCCACTAGGAACGTTCTCACAGCATAGTTTTATATTTTAGAAAGGAAAAATGTCCCTTAACATCTTTTTTCATAAACATTCAATCTACAATCTACTTTAATAATATAATATTAATAAAGTTTTTAAATTTATAAGTTTATTATTATTATTATTATTATTTTATTATTATAAATATATTCTTAGCATAGTCTCACCTCAAAAAGTCCTAAGTTTTATTAGCCAATAAATCATTTAAGTATTACAAAGTGTTAAGAAGGTAGGATAATTTCGATTTATCCTATCACAGAACCGATAATTACATCTTATTCTATTACTCGACTTGAGAGCGTCATAATATCTTTGCAGGTACTCCCACACTCCCAATATCAAGAACCGAGTACCGAGAGTCGCGTGCCAAGGACTTCAAGATAAATACCCAAGAGAATCATTGTTTGAATAGGAAGCAGGTTCATGTTCGGTTCTGTAAGAACATAACTGAAGCCCATCATGGGGCTGAACAGGAACACGACCAATGGTGTCTACTAGAAACATGAATAACGCCGATCGGATAAGCCTACCAAGAAGAGAGAACCCAACAAGTGAAGACACCCTCCTGGTCGTGCTGAGAAGAGAACTCGAGAACTTCAAGAAAAAAATTTCAAAGGAGATAATGGTCTTAAAAAGGGCGAATGATAGAATCAGGAAGCAGTTAGAAGAAAAGGACGGAGAGCATGACCCAAATAGTCAAAGGACATCCAAGATGTGAGAACAATTGACTAGCACTCGTCCCCCGTCACCCATCCTGCGAGACCAGGTATATTCCGGAATAACCACCTAACAGGTCCAACGCTTCATGTGGAAGAATATAGTATGCAGGTTTGGGATCCCTAACTCCATCATCATGGACAATGACAAACAGTTTGTGGACAAGAGACTAGTCGAGTTCTATTCAGGCTTACACATTATTCATAGAGTTAATTATGTCGAACACCATCAAACCAATGGACAGGCAAAGACAACCAATAAAGTGGTCCTACTTGAGTTAAAGAAAAGACTGGGAGCAGCAAAAGGAGGATGGGATGAGGAGCCCTTGGAGGTATTATGGGAGTACTGGTGCACCCCCCAATCTTTGACCGGAGAAACCCCATACAACCTTATGCACAGAACGAACTTCATGATCCCTATTGAAATCGGGTAGAGATATTTACGTCAACAACTATTTGACCAAGAGGAAAATGAACAAAGTATGAAGGTAGAGCTGAATCTTGTTGAAGACGGGAGAGATCAGGCGACCATTCGAATCTAAGTAGCGGATGATGCAAAAATACAAAAATACAACTCCAAGGTACAACTGAGATGCTTTCGGAAAGGCAACTTAGTACTTTTCTTGAGGAGCATGGCTAGGAGGAATCCGACAAAGGGAAAGTTCTCATCTAATTGGGAAGGCCTTTACAAAGTAGCAAAAGCACTTGAAAACGACACATACCTCCTAGAAGAACTATCTGGCAAGCCAATACCGATATTGTATGCTTTGTACCAACATGTACTCTTTCCTACCACTAACATTTTTTCCAAAAAAAGGTTTAGGTTGGAGAGATTTCAACGAGGCATGGAAACCGAAATAAAATACAAGCATTCCACTATATACTAGCATATCTCGGTCCTGGAAGATTCACTTACGAGTGAATCTCCCGAGTATAACACGATCAAGAATGCTTTGTTCACTCGCAGAACAGTCCCTCCCAAAATAAAATACCTAATTAATAACCCAGATTAAGAAAATAGCAAAAATAAGCAAATATAATAAGACACATAATTAACAAAAAATAACAATAATGAACTAAGCATTTTCAGGAAGGTCATCGATATGGACAAGGGAACCATTATGGACATCATACTTGACATCAAAATTAGCCTCGCTTAAGGGGGCACACCACTCTTGACAAAGTGGTGCATTTGGCAGATAGTTGTATTAAAGCCCTATGTGTGCTCTTGGACAATGTATTCCTTTATCTCGGGTAGCTCTTTCTCTGCAACCACCTTGAGACAATTTCTATCTCGTAGAGAGATGACAATTCCACCACTTGGCGGTTGCAACCTTGTTCTCCTCCTCAGATCGTGCTAGCCTTCCCATAAAGCGTCCCTCTTTGAGGACACAACCGAAATTTGTGCGCCAGCTGTTGAATATTTGGCAAGCGTACCAAAATTATCAATCGCAGTATAGTATTTCAATTAAATAAAAGTCGATCCCACGAGGAATGGTTTCAATGGAAATTACAAATCATATGCTTACTAAGTGGAATAAAACAAAATTTGTTTTTCATAACGATATGGGTTGAAAATAAATGATAAAGAATAGTAAAGTGCTTTTAGAAAATATAAAATAAAAGAACTTAGGATTGGTTTCCTTCCTTTTCCCTCATTTGCATAATGGCTAGGTCAAATTAAGAACATCAATTAACCTATCAATGTTGGTACCACCTACTCAAATCATTCACTTTGATTCCTCGCATGTGAAATTGATAAGAAAACTTGATAAAAGTAGATTCCTCACACAGTTACGAGATTTTCCAGCATTAGGTTTAGAGTGTTAAGCACTTGATACATTCATTCCATTCTTGGTAATTAACATAGCAAATATTCTTATCTGATCTCGGGTTTCAAGATATATTTTCCAATCATATCCTAAACATCAAGAATAAATAATTCTAAGGCATAAAAGATAAGAATAACAACATCAAAACACAGATTAATATATCAAAATATCACCATGACACAAAAGAGTTCCAAGGAAGTGCACTCAATCTAAGAGAATGAAGTTAGTCACTCATAGTAGCCATTACAGTGCTCTAAATGAGAAAGAATTGAAGAATCCTTAAAGAACAGAACAACAATCGTCCTTTTCTCAAAAAACCTAAAATTACATCTCAAAACGCGTCTTATCTTTTAATAGGAAATATTGGGCCTAGACTCGCATCATTCGCTCAAGCGATCCATTATTCACTTGAGCGAAAAACAGCAAATTTCGCTCAAGCGAAAGATGTCCGCTTGAGCGAGTAGAAACCCGAGAACTTTGTCGTATTTTTGCTCAAGCCAGAGCAGGTGTCACTTGAGCGAGTGCACACTCGAGAGGTTTGTCGTATTTTTGCTCAAGCGAGAATGGAAGGCGCTTGAGCGAGTGAACTCCCAAGAGCTTTAACGTATATTCACTCAAGAGAGCGTAGATGACAGTCGAGCGAATTTCCAGTTGAAAATCTTCTTCTTTCTTTCACTTTTTCTTCAATTATCTTCACAATTATGATTTTTGCTCTTGTATCAAGGTATTCTACCAATTCGTCCTACATTGAGAGAAAAATAGATTAAAATCAATAATATTTAAGTGGTTACATAACAATTAAGAACATAATTACATTAACTTTTACCACTTAACAACTTTCCCCAACCTAGAATCTTGCTTGTCCCCAAGCAAAGTAATTTTTCTAAAACAAAATCATCACCTATTATCACTTTCTCTTCCAGAACCACAACATAAAAAATATTTTTCTTCCAAATGCGATGCTCACAACTCCAAATGAAAATAGGATATATAAGCATTAAAGTTACAGAAACTAACAAAGGATAATTAGTCATCAACTATCCTCAAAGAAGCCTGATCTCTCAAATAGAATGATATATAATCATCTTTAACTCTCACGGGTAAGTGTTTATCTCATTTAATCACTTCATTTAGATATTCCAATATTGATAATCATCTTCAAGCAATCAACATTTGTTAAGCAAAACTTAAATCAAAAGGTCTTTTGAGGCTAGTAATGGGGCTGGGCTAAGAATGAATTCATTAGTTTTTCTGGGATAAACAAAAGTATCTGAGAAATTGAAATTATATGAATGATTATTATTTAACATTTCCTCAAATTAGGTCTCAAACTTCATGTTTTTGCTTCAACATAATGATATTGAGTTAACAATCTCACAAGTTATCATTCACACCACTTTGAATTTCCTTTCCCTTTCCTCATGCTTTGCATTTATCATTTCAGCTTAGCCCCAATATTTATGCTTTTCTTTTCCCTTTTGCTTTATTCAACCTTCTCTCTTGTTTTTTTTTAAGAATAACAATACCCATAGGAAAAACAATAACATTCATAATCATTCCATTTCTCAAATATAAAAGGTGGATAAACATTGTTTAGGCTCAGAGGTTTTATTTCAAGAAACAATCTTTTTTTCTGGCTCAAATGGGGTTCAAATGGATTTCCTATAATTAATTAATGCAGGATTGACTTTTTGGCTCTGGGTTATATATACTTTCACTAGACAAGAAAAAATGTCTTTATCATTTTCAAGTCTCGCTAACATGCAATCACATCAAAGAATCAATCAATACTAGCTATCATCATAAAGTGTTGATACTCAATTTATCTGTTTTTGGTTCACTCCTCTCTTGGGTTTTAACTAACTTCTCCAATTCAGTTAATTCCTAGTTCTCCTCATCAATTCCTTTTTCACTATCATACTCATCATCCCAAAATCACTTGTTATTGGAAACAATCAAAATGATTTTTCAAGTTCCGGATTTGAATTAGACAATAAGTAATAATTTCATATATGGTTCTAAAAACAATGTGCGGGACAACAAAGAAATTTAATCACATCACATTAAGAACATTAAACAAATTGAATTT